TGGAGCAATAGAATGAAGGATGTCATGCACATATTTCTGGAATTAAGTGGGATGATCCATGTAAAGTGCTTAGCAAGTCAACTGCTATATTCCAAGTATCCTACATTGTTAGCTACGATAATTATCTACTCATAAAATGTGTGTTGATTGCCCCTAACTAAACATAATGAATGGTTATTAGGGACCAAGTATTTTCCTAAGCACTTCACAAGTGGTAACATTTACATTTTATAATTACTTTTTGAAGGAAGAATTGTCATTTTCATCTCTGTTTTACTGGTGAGCAAACTGAGACACAGAGACAAAACGTACTTCTCCAGTGTCTCGTAGCTGGGAGGTGACAGAGCCCGGCCTCAGACTCAGAAGTCTGGTTCTAGTTCTGCTTCACTGTCTTTCTGGGATGGGCTGTGCAGACAAGTGGGCAACAGCAATGCCAACTGTGCACCGTGCTCTCAAGCTGCTCACTGCACACCAGCTCAGGAAGTATCAGTGAGAAGAGTCACTGTAGCAAGTGTCCACCACACCCCACTAAGACTGAGTCAAGGGCCCAAGTGGAAGAACAGGAAACACTCAGGTCATGGACATCTACTCCAGAACTACCCTCCAGAAGCAATCCAAAACAATGGCCTCTCTATCTTTGAGACTATTTTCTCTTAGCAATTGACAAGAAACTGCCAACTATAACCTTAAAACTAGCTTTACATAACACTCTCCCCATCCACCAATCAGAGCTTGCCAACTCTGGCCAGCACCCAAAGTACCAATGAATTTTTCCATGTAGATTTCTCTGTCCTGCTGGAACTCCCAACCTTTCCTTTGTTCTCTGGACATACTGGATGCCACCCTGGCTGATGTATGCATGTCATGGATTGTGATCCCATTTTTTGTTTATTCTTAAATCAAAGTTCCTTTGTTAGACATTCATCTCTCTATTTCTGTTGACCTCTAACACCTCCTGTTGTGTAGATCTATCTGCCCTCTGTGGTCTCTCCACATACCTGAGTGAAGAAGGACAGCGTCACCAATCCTCAGGACACTTGCCACCCTATCCTTAAAACCAGCACCAGATTCCAGGCCCCCCGTCATCTTTACATTCAGGTCTGTCTTTGTCAGATAACCTTTCTAGTATTCTAAAATTTCTTTCTGTGGATTGTCAGGAAAAGACATTCTTGGCACCCAGTGCAAACTTGGTCGGAACACCACACACAACATGACTCAACACACAGATGTTGAGTGCATCCAACTTAGCAGCTATACCACTAGAAATGAAGTCACCCTGCTTTTAGGCTACAGTGCGTCTTTCCCAAGGGTGGGCCCCATGTCTCTTCTTTGTCCAATTTCTCATACGTACATTATGATTTCTGCTTTTGCAAAACAGGACGTTGCTTAACCAAGTCCTTATGGGAGGAAGCACAGGCCAGTGAGCAGAACAATGATTTGAAAATCCTGAGTTTTGTTTTGAGCTCCACTGTTGACAAGCCGTGCATTCAGCCCTAGGAAGGTCAAATGCAGAATGGCTTTGCCTTGACTTTCTCTGTGTGCCTTGGTCTAGATGGAAAACAAATCAGGCGTCTGGCTCTCAGCCTTCAGGAACTGCAGTCTTTGGAGAATAGATATATAGTCATGCTTTGTTTTCATTTTAAAAGCAAAGGAACAGAACAAACTCTCTGAGGTGGAGGCGGGTAGAGAATGAAGAGAGGAACCTGATAACCTTTTAAACAATCCAGGGGTGAAGGGATGGCTTGAGTCATTCAGATCAAAGAAGGCTTTTTGGCACAAGTTGGAGTCTGCTGCATTTGAAATGGAAAAGCCAAAGGGAGCTTTGACAGATTGCTCTAAATGCAGACAACAACAGGTGCCCAGAGCTCTGCTTCTCAGGGCCAGGCTGGGATCCCAGGTGGGTGAGGCCAGTGGGCAAAGTGGAAGCCCACTGGGGCTGGGGCTGGGGGCTACCAGCACCGGCTGCTTGTCATCCAGAGAAGTAAGCTACTTTCAACAGAATTTCTGAGTTTTCAAGAGAAACTGAATATTTAGACTTCTGTCATTAGGACTCTTGCATCCCCTCGCAATCCTGGGGATTGAACCCATAGCTGTCACACTGAGCTACACCTCAAGCACCCCCCCCATCCTACCTCCTTTTCTTTTGTCCTCTTTGGAGACAAGTTCTTGCTAAATTGCCCAGGTTGAACTTGAACTTGTGAACTTGCGATCCTTCTACCTCAACCTCCCAGAATTGTGGGATTTACATATGTGTGCAACCATGCCTGACAGGACTGCTGATTTTTTTAAATGGTGGGTCTAACTTTTACAGAGATACTGAGTAGGCAAAAATAAGCATACAGTCTAAACAAGATACTTTTCATCTTTCCATGTTTTCTTTACAATAGATGAGATGAGGTTTCATAAGGGCTTTAATAGTTGTTCTGCTATGAAAGAGTAGAAGTTACATTCCAGACCAGAGGTATTGATAGCAACACTCATCACTGACTGCTCATACTTTGGTAGAAACACAAAGATTCTGATCTAATAGAGAGAGTTTCAGCATAAGGATTAGGAAGTTTAAATGCTCCTCCAGGTATTCTAATATGCAACCATGACTGAGAAACTCTGTATTAGAATATTGTGAGAAAATTTAAGAATTCAGAAAGCTGTGAGTTTTAATGTGATAAATTATGTAAATAATTCCTGAATGTAGGTCAGAGAATTGATGCTCAATATGAACTGCTATTTCCTTTTCTTTTTTCTTTTTGGTACCAGAAACCAAACCCAGGTCCTTGTGCTTGCTGGGCAAGCACCAGAACCACTGAGCTAAATTCCTGGCCCTCTTTGTTCTTTTTTTAATGACACTCTTGACTCTCCAGTATCATTGCTGGTGGCCTTAATGTCTTTGGGCTCACAAAGAGCCAGCTAACAAGAGACGATGGGAAAAATGGGTATTATAGCAAAAGCCAAACACAACAAAAGGACAAGTGCAAGCCCAAGAACAGATAGGTATTAATAGGGGAAATTCATTTGTGGTCTGATGGCCATGAACTGGGCAATAGAGCAAAGTAAGGCTTTTGCAAGTGTAATTTAATCTCTGTCTGAATTCTAATGGCTGTAAAACCCACCATATGAAGCTAATAAATGATGCAGAAAAGTAATACTTTCAGTTGTTTCCTTCCTTATTTCATAAGCCCTATGCATTATAAGTAACACGATTAAGACCAAGTGGTTATATCCATGGCTAGTTCTTATTTCATCTGTGGTTCCTCTTGCTATTCGTTATATTTTTCATAAAAGCTGCAAGTGCAGATTGAGTATATTAAATCACGTACAAAGGGACATTCAGTGGTGCGCTTCCTTTTGTCTAGGTGTATCAGAAGAGGCCCACACAGCTGGTGCCAAGGAAGCCCTCCATCTAAAGTGAAGTGGTAGCTCAGCTAGAGATGGACATGGGAAGAGGATGTGAAGGTAGTTCAACTCATGACACCACATTGGCCACCTCCAGCCTGTCGAGAGAGACTTGAAAGCTGACACTAAGGATTTCCTTGGAAGGTGCTGCCAATTCAGTAAGAATCCTCATCCTCACCCCCTCCCTAGATAGGTGTCTTTCTTCTTTAACATGAGCCAAGGGAGAACACTTCAGTGAGATCACCTGCAAAGCTGCATATATGTTTCCTGGACTTTTGGCAACAGATGTTCTGATGTGTGACTCATACCTGAAAACACAGAGACAGTGGCAGAGTGGTCCCTGCCTACTGCCTGGAGCAGGGCTGTGTTGTGAATAATCAACACTTCCAAAACTTTATGGGGCTAATAAGAATTTTACTCAAAAGGGGCAGATTGGGTCATCTTTGGAGAAATTGTGTGGAAAGGTAGGTCAGGTACCGTGACAAGCTGACACTGGAGAAATCATAAGTAACTCAACTAAGAAGGCAAAATGGAGCCAAGGGAATAGTTTTTTGTGGTTTTGTTTGTTTTGTGAGAGATCTTTAAGAAAAGAGAAGTATCTTTAAAAGAAAAAAAAAGCTCAACAAAATATCCCATGAGAAAAAAATCCATTGGTAGCTCCACAATCCCAAGGAAAGACTGTAACAGTACCACTCAAGTTAGAACTTCTTATCTCACCTTTTCACCTTCCGTTGCTCCACCACATCCCTCTATCTCTGGGGAAGACAGAAATCTTAGCTAGGGAAGGAGAGTCAGATGGAGAGAGGAGAAATGAGGAAACCAGCTTGACTCCTCTTTCTCTCCCTAGATTTTCAACCTGAGTGATAACAGCTGTGGATGAGACAAAGCTGAAGTTTACATGGATTAAACTGTGGACTAGACTTTTTACTACCTTGAACAAAGATATTTTTCAACTGGTAATCGGAAATGCCAACAGAGAACTATCCAGAATTTTACTGGGTAGTAGAACCTGGGAATTAGGGAAAGTAGTCAAAATATCAGGTTTAAAGGAATGAGTAAAATATAAATTGTTTTCTACTTGCAATCCAGTCCAACTCATATTTTAAACCATTTCAAATTAAATGGATAAAATGTAGTGTGAATTCAATTCAATAAGAGTATAATGTGATGTCAGAGTCATCTTTTAAAATCTTCATTTTTAAGATCAGCTTTGCTACTTCAAAGATATATTGGGTTGGGCCAGCGATTTAGCTCAGTGGTTTCAATGCCTGCTACGCAAGCACAAGGACCTCAGTTCGATCCCTGGTACCAAAAAAAACCCAAAAAACAGATATATTGGGTTATGGAAACATTCCTGCAAGATATTAATAGATGTTCCTTAGAAACCAGTTCCATGGTCAAAGATACTGGTGAAGAACTTACTCAGTCAAAAAATACATTTAGCTCAGTGGTTCTGCTGCCTGCCTCACAAGCACAAGGTCTGGAGTTCAATCCCTGGTACCCAAAA